AGCTACTTCCAGCTCAGGTGCATCTCCCACCACGTTGAGATAAGCGCCCTTGGGCACCTGGGGGTCGGGAACCCAAACTGTCAAGTCAAAAAACAGAAACGGTGCGTGCTGCGCAGGGCTCACCCAAGGGCTGCAGGCTTCAGGATCCGTGCCTCGACGTGTACCAGGGCCTTCTCTTTTGTAAAGAACCTGAAGTTTTCAGAGCGCCCCCAAAAGCAATCACAAAGGGCTCTTGGTCACTGAGCCCGAGAACCGGACTCCTCGGCATCTTGCAGCAAGGTCATGAGATCCCGAATGGGAAGCAGGCCGCCTCGGGCGAATCTTTTCTCACGCGCATGATCGCGAGACAACCACTCCTCCAAGGGCTCCCAAAATCATTCAACGGGGCGAGCACGCGCACCCTTACAGAAAACGCAAGCGCAGCCAGCAAATTGCCTGTGCGAAAGAAGTCCATCAGCTCCACCGGAAACTCGCGCATCTTCTCGCGATTTGCGGCCCTTCAGCGAGTTCGGAGGTAGTGAACCCCTATCGGACTGCTACAGAGGGAATGTAATATAGTGTCAATGCCTGCCAGGGTGCAATTGCCTACACTTGGGCTTGATAAGGCACTCATCGTTTCGTCAAGAATAAGTATAAAGAGGGTTAGCGAAGTGACAGGTCTCCACTCTCAAAAGGTCAGGGTTTCAACGTTTTTGCTTGCGACGGAAGTTTTGATAACAAATGCATAAAGGGGCTTGGCCCAATACCCCCCTTGTCGCGGGGGGCCGGCCCCTGCCAGCTATGTTTCAAACCTTTGTCGCGTGGCATTCTAGACAATGCCCCTTGTCGCAAGCCTTGTCGCGCAAGGCTTGTCGCAAGAACCGGTTGTTGTTACAAACCCTTGTCGCGCCGTGGCTGCCCGGGGGCCTGTTACAAGCCCAGCGTTTTGGGCCGTGCCCATATAACACAAATAGATATACTAGAAAAATCGACAGAAGGGGTCATGTGTGCATTTGGTCCATTGCAATTCTTCAGGTTGGAGGGTCAAGGCGGGAGAAAAAAAACAGAGCAGGACTGTTTTGTCATAGGATCTACTGACAGGAAGCTGTGGATGATGAGACTTTTTGCCATATGCCCAAAACTAAGATTTCGCTGGCAAAGTCCCGCGATCCAGTAAACAGTAAAGCCCAACAAGCACGTCAAAGAGGGTACACGTTGTGTTGCAGCAGTTTCACATGTGTGGCTATTTGACCACAGTATTTCACACTTGCCCCACCAACTACGGTCGGCTGGTCATGGGTAAAGCAGAGCAGGCACAACACACTCACACACACGCACACACAGGCAGATGTTGGTCGCTGGGAGCTCCTGCACATGGGCGAGAGTCAACAGTTCACTCGCATGACTGCCTAGGCAGCAAGGCATCGAATGACCAACACTAACCCCAAAACGGCTGAAACGGCGCAAGAAACCAAGATAAGCCAAGGCACCCAGGGTACTGTGGCACGGGAAGGTCAGATTCACCTTCATGAGTGCACGAAGTCGCTCGAGGGTTTCTACATGGAAGGTTGAGCTTCTGGCAAAGATGCTCTTTGCAGGTTCCATAGCGGGCGCAGAAGCAGAGTCTACAGAGCGATGGATGCTTTCCGCGGGGCTGCAGGGATTTTGAAGCCCGCCTTCTCTGCTTCGCCGCCGGACAAGCCGCTTTCTTGCTCCTGTCGTGAAGGGCACCCGCCACGCGACGGCGACGACCGCACGTGAACGTCTTCCCTTCCGCCTGTCCCATGGACTTAACCTCAACCATCCAAATCATGAACCTTCTACCAGGCCACATGCTCAGAGATGGAATACACTATGCTACATGAATCGACATGAGCACGCGCAATCCTCCGGCTAGCCGCGCGCTGGCTGATGCGGCCACAAGGGCTCCCAAGGCAGACCTAAAGGTTCAACCCAAGCCCTAAAGTTCCTAAAGGTTCAGGGTTGTTGTTGCTTACGGTTTAGCTTTTTCGTGGACAGAAACATGTTCGGGCCGCGACTTGAGGGCCCTGAAAACAGCGAAAGCTCAACTCGCCAATCCTCTCTGGGGTCGGGCTTTCGGGGTTCTGCTTTCTGGAGTTTTTTGAAGGTGCAGGCGTGTCACGAACGGGTCCACGGAACAGCCCTAGCAACAAACTGAACTCCGAGTGAGCATGGATGCAACTTCCCCCTCTGCACGGCTGATGGTTCTGGATGAAGCTGAGTCCCACTCAAAGCGATGGAGGCGACAGAAGCATCCTGCCAGCAGCTGGCTCTGAAAATTGCATTTTCTGCGTGCAGCCTTGACAACAAAGTTTAAACATGACGGCTTTGAAATTTGTAGTTGCAATTTCCACCAGAACAGCACCACCACCGTCTGTCCCTAACACCCAGCAGAACAACTCAAATCCCGACATCACTGCTTGCAACCAAGCAGCACTTCGTACCGGTGTCCCTTGAAGAGGCCCTGTGGTAGATTGCCGTGAATGCACCGGCACCTGCCAGCCAAGAGTGTTTTATGCCTCGTGGACCCTCACTTAACAGGATTAAAAAAAAAAAACATGTCTCTGGTCTTCGTGAGTTGAAACCTGTCTGCTGATGCTGTGCAGGCTTCCTTGCAAGTGTCGCCAATGGCCCTAGAGTTGGAGCGTGGATGACTCTCGCAGGCTGGTCTAGTGTCTTTCAGGATGCTGTTTAAAGGGTACGTCAAGTTCAACCAAATCAACTGACAGTTGTGGAACTGCTCTTCAGGTGTTGAAAACATTGAGTACAACTCTCTATGCTGAGATCATGGCTTGCCTGGGCCCGAGGAACACTTCGGGCGCTGCCCAGCGGGCTCAAGAAGGTGGTCAAGGCATCCATGGCTGGCTGGAATATCGTAGTGCAAGGGGGAAAGAAAGCCACGAAGCTGCATGATGCGGCTGCTGGTGGTACTTTCAGTGTGTGCGTATACCTCGATTGGTGAACGTGCTTCGGTTCTTGACAGCTGTATGCATCACTCTGCGGTCAGCTTTGCAGTTCTCATGGGCAAGATCAGCAGCTGCTGCACGACGACACGAAACTGTCGCATCTCGACAATGCAATGCGCTCCTGCACTGACTAGACCAGTCCCTCCGAAGTCATCATGCGCACTCACTTAGGCGCAGTTCCAGGCAGTTCTTGAGCAAGGACTTCAGCGTTGGAAGACCCAAAGCCGGAAACCCCGGGCTCTGCAAGTACGTATTATTGTGGGCCGACTGCCTCCGCAATGGGCTGATGATGGCTGATGGTTCCCGGCGAAGGCTGCCCAAGTCTCCGCCCCCTTAATTCGAAAACCTCCGAGCGCGCTGCGCTTGGCAGCGGTGTCGCAAGTGTGAGGCCTTGATTGGACCGTGCTAAGACAGGACAGGAGTAAGGTTCTTAGGATTGGTGAATCCGAGGCAACAGGGACTGACGAGCTTTCAAGCCCGATAGCCTGAGTGGAACTGTCTCCTGCTTGGGGGTGCAGATTCTAAACTCTTGGAGAAGTCCTCTTTTACCAGACCCTGCCATACACCCGTATCCGCAAGTGGTAGGTGCGCGAACTGCCGATTCGATGGGTCGTTTTCAGGGGCATGCACGACTTCCCAGGTGAACCCCAACTTTGCAAAGTAATGTTTCGGTTTGACTTCGAAGGCGAGCCCTGCGCATTTTTGTGTCGGGGCCATGGCTGGCCGAGGCCATTGCAGATTGCAACGTCCAAAGTGAAACCGGCCCGGGAGAGGACCCATCTGGCTCTATGTGCACTATGATTCCGAGGATGCACTCGTGGGCACTCCCCTTTTTCCGTCGCGTTTGGCTTGGCGTGGGGGGTGGTGTCAGTACGGGGCAGCCGCTGTTAGGGCAATTTGCTCTGATGCGCCACCTTTGCAGAGACTTTGCATATGAGCGCCGATACTGGCACCCTCAGACATCAGGACGTAGCCCAGCGCAAAGCTGGGGGAATATCTCTGTACAGCACCAGATCAACCCGTATGGCAAGCACATCGAAATGGGTTCCGCTACCCCAGCCCCTAACCCTCACCGATACCCCTTAAACCCGAACAAAAGCCACGCCCCCAATCCCTTGCAAGTGTCAAGCCTCTCAAAGGTAGAGAGCCTCGCTTCCATCACAGCTGAGGTTGTCGAGATTCAGCTGGAGGGCTCGATCGATGCCTGACAGCCGCTGCTCCACTCATGTTGCTTTGGTTCAGCTCATAGTAATCGGACAGCTTTAAGGGAACCTTCAGCTTGGGGTTTCTAGGGTGCAGGGACTTGATATCTGAAGCTCCAAGCTGGGAATGCCCAGAGTCGCACTGAAACAAAAACCTCAGCGTCTGCAGCATGGCGTCAGCGCCCGCGATTTTTTTTGAGCGCGAGCTTGCTGAGAGTCCCTGCTCCCAAGGGTCCAAGGGAGCAATCACAAGGCTCCCCGCGCATCACCAGCTCCACTTTGGTCGCTTGTTTTGTCGGTTTGAGTTGCCGGGTCCTTACCAAGCGCCCAACAGCTCAAAACGGGCGTATGCTCCACCTGAAAGGAGGTGAGGGTCTCGCGCGATCATCTACAGGCTCCGGAGCTCCGCTAGACTGAAACATCAATGGGCGGAGCCAGCAGCGAAAGCGAGGCCATCTGGTCCTGCTCACAAAAAGCCTATACTCCCCTTAGAACCTTAATAAAAATGATTTGTTTAATATCCTCTTGGGTTGTAAAATAGACAAAATAAACAAATAAATCCCAATGGGGATATAGAAGCACCCACTTGAAGAATGCAAGTTCTAGTAGTAGCCGCATTCTCTCAGGATCAAGTCGGATTGAGAATTTGAAGACACAACTACGACGAAAAGGCTCTGGGCCCTTGTGCATCTGATGGGACATTGCTCTATCAGGGCATATGCCAGAATGCAGCTTTTCGATAAAGGTTCTCTACGACCTGTCTACACAGGGACCTCCAACTGTTGACGATGCGGTCCATGTTGGCCCGAAGAGACAGGGTCCACGTCGATGGTCAGCACATGTGCCTCGTCACCTTGTGGGGCTCGCACTTCAGGCACACGTGGCGTCTGTATGCTCTGTGCTGTAGTTTGAGGCAGCAGCTGACCGATTTGAAAGCCTCATAAACCCATACTAACATGCAGTGCACTTCAAAAAGGTAGGCTCAGACACAAGCGCGCTTCTTAGGCGTTTCGAGCAAGTACTGACGTTGTGGAACCTTTCTGAATTTTGAAAACCCAAGTTGCTCCTCTACCGTACCCTCAGCTCAATCGAAACCGAACACGAACAAAGGCCCTGACATAAGTTCTAGCTGGCCCCTACTACATTTAACGCCTGGAAAATTGTGTATGGTGATGTTGGTTCATGGGACTGGGCTGTTTTGCGCTTAGCAGGAAAGCCTTCTACTGCTCTGGCTTTGCACCTTTGTGAATCATGCTGCTCATCAAGGCTTTCTGCGAGGTGCTGGAGCAGCCATACTCCCGAGGGGGCGCTGGACTGTTCGGGCCGGTGCCGTGGCACGCCTCAAACAACATGGGGGTTTACGAAAATAAGGGGCCCAAAATATAGACCCCCAAATAGTAGGATCTCCTTACAACAGGGACCCCAATAAAGTACCCCTAACTTTGGAGGCCCGCACATGGTTATGCACTGTTTGGGGTTGAGTGCCTTTACGACTTTACCGCCTAAAGAACTCACGAGGAGGAAGGTTGAACAGCTCTTCAGGTTGCGAGCCTGGGGTGGCTCAGAGTTGGAGAAGAGCGCCTAACGCCCATGCTTGAAAGACCTCGTCTTTGCGATGCCCCTATGAAGGCATTCTATTGGCAGTGGCTCGGAGTGGAGGACACGGCTCGACCTGTTAGCTGCTCTCGCCCTGAAACCTGCGGAGCCCACAGTCGACGTGCCTGTCGGACAGCTGCACCATCTGCGCGTGCTCCGAAAGCCGAGCGGCCTTGCCCACAGAGCCCATAGAAACGCAACTCTGACTTCACACGGCTGGGGCTCGTGGATGGGGGCGTTGCCATTGTGCTGCATAATTATTTGTGCAAACCGCGAGGAATCATGCTCGTCTGGTACCAAATTTGCACCCGGCCACATGTGTTTTGATGCTTTTTCATCACAGCTATCAAATCAATTATCATGCATGCCAAACCGATCTACCTACATGTGCACTCCAACCATAACCAACCACAAAGCAGCAAATTGCACAGGAGTCACCTACAGCAGCACTCTCGATCCAAACTTACAAACCTCTTTGACACATGACATCGTTTCCGCCTGTTTCTGCCGTGCAACGTTGCTGGTACCATTGTTGTGGAGAAATAAGACAAATAAATGAGTGGTCTTCATTTACTAGATTCCTAGATTCCAACACACATACTTGGTTTGATCTAAAAAAATATGTAGGTGCTGTTGAGATACAACGAACATTTTGAACCATTTTGGCAGCATCAAGTGGAGGACTGAGAGCCATCCCAAGTTAGAGTCGTGGAGAAGATGTAGCAGCAGTTTACAATCGGCAGGCCTGCGTAGCACGTGCGGCGAGAGATTGGCGCCGGAATTCGGCGTCTCGAACACGCAGCATGCGCAACGCACAGAGGCTCAGGGCCTTGTCTGGTGAGCAACCACCGAAACGGTGACGCAAAATCCTATACAAAAAGCCCCTGACTAGCCACACGCTACTCACCCAACTTTGGCATTATAGGGGTGTCGCTATGCTCAGGGATTCTATAGATTCTAGAGTCACCAGCTTGCGGAAGACACACCCGCAAACAACAAATGGACCCAGCTGCTAGGATCGCCAGTGTGGAGGCAAAGATGATGCTCATCACCAAGTACTTGTGGTTGTACTTTGAGCTTGCGTCGTCCTTGGAAAAACTCAGGCTGCCGAGGATGATTCACGACTAGTATGATAATTGTTGTTACCTTCTTATGATGACGAAGTGTTGGTTGTTCTCCCTAACAACCTAAACCCTAAACCCTAAACCCTACAATCAGGGCCCAAGTGGCGCTGCGCCGGCCTGGCTCCTGTGCCTCGCATCGCATCGTGGAGCGGACGGCGATTTCCAGAAAGGTCTTGGAGGACTCAAGCCTACAGGGCCATAAACCTAGGGGATGATAGTACCCCCTTCTACTAACAGTCCGTAATAGGGGATTATAGTACCCCCTACTAGAATCCCTAGTAAGGACTGCTAGTACATCCCAAGCCATTGCTGCTAAAAGGGATTTTCGGGGAGCCACCTTGCACGGGAAGGGGTTGAGGGAGTGTATGTGGCGCGCACACACATCCTCCCCAAAGCTGCGAGGCTGTCACAGGCATGTCCTAAAGCCTGAAACCATGCACGTTTCATCTTGCTCCGGGGGTTGGTAGTCCAAGCATCTTGAAATTGGTGGGGGGGGGGGGGGGGGGGGGGGGCAAGCTGACCGAAAGCCCGACCTGTCGCCCATCAGAACGTTGGCGAACACCGGGGTGTCAGCCGACTCCTGTGTTTCCCACTTGCGAGGGAGCAGGGCTCTCTTGAAATCTGCGTTTGTCGGACATGTTCAGGTAATGAGATCGGAAGATTAAAGCCCGAAGTATGCTTCCTTGCAGCTTCATGCAACCTTCAGCAGACGACTTCTCTGATTCATGTCCGTACCCGCAACCCGCAGATAGTCTTAAAAGCTACACATCCCTAAACACAGCCCTGACCCTTCTCCTCGAGCCCCAATGCGTTTCAGCAAGCTTCGTTTCTGACTTAGACGCCGCCGATTCGTGACATAGGCATGTCTAAACAACACCCAGACCCCCCGAGACCCTAAGCCACACCGAGCAGGAGACAAGCCGAGTCCCACCTGCTGCACCTACTTGAATGCATGTAGAACATGGAAATTCTCTTGAACTCACAGACACAAACCTGGCGCACTCATCCTGTACACATCCAGCCATGTGTGCGCACCGCTGAGACCGCAAAGTCTCTCAACCCTGTTCCCTATGCTTCCTTGAAGAAAGACGGCAAGCTCTGATCGGCAATCTCGGCGGCTGCTTCCAGGCTATAGACTGGACTTCCATTCTCCTTACGGGTGAGGGCTCAAGTAAGGCGCGTAAGCCTGCTCGATGCACCTCCATAGGTTGACAAATGTGGCCAAACCTAATCTGCATCCGAGTAGCATCTGTCATGCGCCCGGAAACTTTGAACGTCCTTGCAGCTTCATTGGGTGCGTGAGGATTCGTGACGACCAGCTGAGCCCAGAGGCCCCCCCAGACGCTGCCAAGCGTCATGGTCCAATACAGCTGCAGCATGGGCCGGGTTGCGTTGAACCGCCGGGCCTCCCACTGCTCTGAGCATCTGAAGCCCTGTGCTGCTCTCTTTCAAGCATGCCCCAGCCTACTGAACTCAGGTGTCTCTCAAGGCTTTTTGGGCTTTTGCTCGTTGCACGTCTTTCTGCACCAGCTCTCGATCCTCGTCCGCTCTGTTGCTGGGGGAAGGGGGGGGGGGGGGGGCTATTTTGGCAGCTCGTTTCGCGTCTTGCTTCGGCAGGCAAGAAAAAGCACCTATCTTGAGAAGCATAAACCCTACATTGCCCTACATGTTCACACGGAGGGCTGGCGGAGTGGAGGGTTTGAGTCGGTGGCGGGCTGGAGGCTGGAGGCTGGAGCTGTCCAAAAACGATCACGGGCGCACGCTCCTCCAAACATAACATGTTCTGTCCTAGACTACATATACTATGACTATATTTTATGTATTACTGTATACTTATATATATATACATACATGTGTATATATACTTTCATTATTTTATATGTTTATCAAACCAGCAAGATTGGCAAACCTAGATGTCCGTCTGGGCGCAATGACTCGGCCAGCGCACCATGGTGCAACGCACACTCGACTCGCCTCCGCGCAAGACCGGTTGAGCAGGAATTCCTCGGCAAAATGCTTTTGCTCTTTACAGCTTCGGGGAAGGTCTTGATTCCAAACTCTTTCAGGTTCCTCCTTCCTCCAAACCAGCTGCAGCGATCTGAAGCAGCCCCAAGCTCCCCTGTATTCCGAGGCAAGAAGATGCACGAGGGGATAGGGGTTGAGGCAACAAGGTCAAGCAGCAACTGTTAAGTAACTTTGCTTTGCAAGTCCAGGTCTCAATAGCAGCAAAGGAAAACATAACTTTTCAGTGTCCACCTAGCACACTTAGTATCCTGATTGTTTAAACGACATGCACATCCACAATGCCAAAGCAGACGCCAGGTCTCCTCGGCGTAAACTTGCTGGCGGGCGCGCTGTTTCCGCATAAGCTTCGATGGTTTGCAGCAGGTGTAGGAGTACTTTCCTCGGAAAGAGCACTGCGTGAGTCGGGATCCAGGCTGTCGAAAATCCCAAACTTGTTAAGAACTGATTATTCTCATCGTTGTGGCCAGTCATGTCTGTGCCCTTTCTCATGTGGCGATGGGGTGACGTAATTAGCTAACAAAAGCATCGAGAGCGATGCAGGTCGGCAGGTCCCAACATGCATCCGACAAAAACTCAGCATCCGCTGCTAACTTCTTTTCAAGCAGGGCTCCACTTCTGCATGCGGATGACTACGTGGACTCGGCGGTGGGGATGTTGAAATGTTGAAAGGCATGTCAACCAAAGCGCCCGGTCATATCACAAACCAGAAGTTGCATGCCAGCATTCTCATGTAATTGCTGCGAATGCAACCGCGGCACCCCAAAAAGGGCCGGTACATGCCCCGAAGCCATCATCCGTCTGAGTCCGCTGAGAGGGATTTTACAAGCTTCCAGAATGCTGACACTAATTCTGTTAGGGTTTTGGGTTTAGGGTTTCGGGTGGATGAAGTTTGGGTTCGGGACTTTAGGTCGTTTGTGTGCCTGCCATATACAAGGGCCAGTTCCCGCCGCAGGATTCTCCCTGCACACGTTCTGCATGATGTTGCGTTGTGCACGTTGGACTATTCTGCTATAAACACTTGACAAAGGAGTTGATGATAAGGGCCGAAGTGTCCAGGATTTACTTGGAGCAGTTGCCGTATTTGGTACAACAGGTGGCCATGGGCCAAAGCCACCGACACTTTCAGGGCACTTGCATCGAGATCCGAAAACCTTGAAACCTTGAGCCCTAAGACCTTCGATTCCTCTTCAATACCCTCCCGCCCCCTCCCCCTTCCCCCCCCCCCCCCAACCGAAACCCTAAAGAACACGCCTCACATTTGTCGAAAGCTTTGAAGTGCCGGACGCCCTGGGCGGTGAGCCTTGGGGCTGGGGATGACTAAGGCTTTGGGGATCCTTGAGAGATCTGGAAAAGTTTCAACGCAAACCCAAGAGGGGGGGGGGGGGGGGGGGGGGGGGGGGGGGCGAGGGCGCATGCTTCAAAGAATGCATCACACACTGTGGGGCTAAGCTCCACGCGCATTCAGCCAGTCCTGAGACGAGTCCACCTGCAGGCCAAACGTCTCTGCTGACACAACCAGAAGTGCGGTGGTCTCTGTCTGCCGAGCAGATTCAGGATACATACCTGGAAGATGTTGACATGTGGAGATCTTGTAGAATTCTGATTTGCAACTCCAAAGCCTGCAGGAGGAAAATCAGCCGGCGGCCACTGCTCTGAAGTGTGGTAATGGGCCTCTCTTGCCACAGCACGTCTGAACATAGCGTACTGACCAACATGTTGCTGTATGGCAGCAGTTCTCAGCTTGAAGGTTCTGAGGCCACTGCACGAACTAGTGCAGGCTTCAAGAAGGGCGTGGCAGAGATCACGTGCACATACTGTGCATGGGCATGCTGTGCCCGAACATGCTCGCCCACCCACCCCCCCCCCTCGCCCACAATCAGTCATGCAGCAATGCTTTTGTAGGTCAAGCGGCTGCATCCACCAAGCAGCATCCTCAGAATACCTTGTGCTCCGGGTCACCGCTTGCGATTTAGGATTTCATGTGCACTTCGTCTTGCTCGTTCTGCTAGAATCAGATCTTGTATTGCGTTGCCTGGCTACAGGAACGGCATCAGCTCTTCCTCCAACAAGGCCCGAAGTGCTTCGAGTCGTGCCGTTGTCAGCGCGGCATCGGAGCCTTGATTGTGTCAGGCGTAAGGAGGGTTATGGGGGCTTTTCGTCAGAAAGCACGGAGTGCCTCTGAGACGTTCACTCTGTTTTGCAGGAGTGCTCCTGAGCTCAGGTTTCAACGAGTCCTCCTCGCCAGGTTCAATTGAACTCTTCTTGACAAGGGTGCAGGCTTGCCACGAGTGAGCTCACAAAGTGCGACGGCTTAAACACACGTTGAAGACTAAGCCTGGCCCAATAGAGCCTGCCACCCAAAGGCCGTAAAACATCGATGTGGCCTCGAAATATTGCAGCTTGGCTTTCACGATCCTCGGCATTGGCTTGCATCTGAAGAACATTAAGACCTACGTCGACATGCGATCTTCGCAGACAAGATTCCTCATCTACGAGGATTTGGGTTTCAGCCCGCGGGGTTGGTGCGTGCATGTTTTATGGGCTTTCAGTGAGCTTGAACCTCAAGGCTTCGTGAGGTTTGATCGCTCACAAGTCGGACAAGCCATTCGAAGACAGTGTTCCAGTTCGACTTAGCTGTACAACTACAGCTTTCCAAGCAAATGTGGGTGACACTAATTAATTTCAAATTCACACAAAAAAAGATCCCAAAACCCAATGCTTCGTGGGCCCAGCAGCACGAGCTCACCACGTCGGTTTGCGTCCAGTGCGTCTTCCTGCTGTGACACATTCCCCAACCACCCAAACCACCCTCGAAAATCGAAACCAGGACCGGCGACACATGCACTTGGCTCACAGTTCCGCTCTTGGCACCCACCACTCCTGCTCCTTGCTGCAATGCTATCTTCATGCCTTCCTGCATACCAAGTATTTCTGCAACTGACATAAAAGCAGGTTTATGGATGCATACATGCAAAGGTGCACGAGTACACATTACGGCGTCACATCCACTCACGCCTATGCACACACACACAGATACACATTATTGGAATTGACCAGAATGCAAAGCACTAACCCTAAACCCCCAATGTAGACAACTAAAGAAAGCTTGAAAAAGGGCCTCCAGAAAGCGGCGCAAATCTTGGGTGACGTTGGCGACGGGTACGCCCAGAAGGCAATGGTGGACCTCGTTGCCAGCTCTGCACGTTTAGGCGGCGAAGGGTTTATGAGGTCTCGAGTCTAGGGCCCTTCCGGAAGAATCACAAGTACGACTCAGCTCGTGCGCCACAGATTTCTGAACCATGCACCATGCCTCCCAGTTGCCACTCGCATTTCTCGTTCTATTGCGCTCTGCGACGTCCTTCTTCCCTTTCCTTGCGGACGCTGCAGCGACTGTTTACCCGGCCTTCTCAGCCGGGGGCAGCCCTCTCCATCGCCCTAAATCGCTTGTAAACTTCTCAGATTCTTTCAAGACTCGCTCAAAGGTCAAGGGGCATGTCTTCGCACCCCGGACGCCCCCTGCCACGATGGAGAGCAGTCCTCCACCCTCCGCCAACCCCACTCCCCCAATCTGTTTTGGAATATCACGCCACTATCAAGCCGGTCTGATGCTGAAGTTGGTGAAAGCTCTTCCTCCAGCCCCCTTCAGACTTGAACCGGCGACTCATTCCTGCCTGCACTCCGCTCAGGGGAGGGCGCGCGCTCGGGCGTGAAACACCCCGGGCAGCATGCTCGCGTTGCTCGCCAACCCACCCCACACTATACTCTACTAGTGTTTAGGGTTTATTGAATTGGTTTTCTTTTTCGCCCATGCATATTTCTATTGTTGAAGTTGCGGTGCTAGGTCTTACGCTGGGGTTCGGGGCTTCTTTCGCTTTTTGATATCTCTTTCTTTCATTGATTCATTCCTTCAGCGGGCTTAGGGCCGAAAGCCTGCGCGGTTCACCCTTTGAGGGGTTCTGAGGTTTCTTCTTCTCTTCCTTGCTTCCTGCACATCCCGGCCTCCCATTCAGCTTCACTGGTAAATCCCCTCAACGCCCTAGCCTCACCTCTCGCCCTCTTGCATGCGTAGCGGCCTTCCAACATGCGCCGGTGACGTTGCTGATATCGTTGCAGCCCACCACGGCGCTGTCCACAGTAAGCCGCAAGTCGAAGTAGCCTTTTTCGAGTCATCACGCAAAGGACCGCGCCCGAAGGCTCGAGCGCTCGCGTGTCATGTTCAAAATGTTTTTAGCAGTTCAAGTTTGTCCAAACCCGACGATGCTGGTGCGAATCTTCAAGATGTCGAACACGGCTGGCTTGCTTTTGAGGTGGTAGGTCCGCTATATATAGGTGGAACCAAATATGCAGAATGATGTGTCGGCAAGCAATCAAACTAGTAAAGCCGCTCCTGACGACGACTGCCTGGAATTGAATGTGACAAGCTGTTGCGTGCATGCAAGGAGCGGACGCCGTTCTGCAGTTGGCTGAATATGTCTCCTGGCTGCTTTTGGCGACTCTAACCAAGCGGCGTTCTGCAAGCCTACAAGCTCTGAAGGAAGGAGCCCGTCCCAGAGCTTCACTCCCGGTGGCATGAGTCACATATGGCGAGCCAGGTTGTTATTCACATATGAAGCACTCACTCGCCAGACTGTCCATGAACACACCCCAGACGTGCTACTCTGGCAGTCTAGGATCTCAAATCCATAAAGCCTTCAGAACCTTCAGAGACGGCCGCAAGACGCGAGGTACCCAAAGCTGGTCGGGCTCAGATCCTGTTGCAAGAGGCTTGTACGCTCCCCTTGACTGGGGCCGTTTATGCCGCCTATGCCCTAACAGGCCCATAGACCCCAAATCCTCCCTGACTTCTTGCGCCTCCTTGCGCCAAGCCCCATCGCCGTGCAAAGCTGGGAGCCAGCCTGGGTGGGCTCACGTGGGCTCTTCGCGGCGCCGAGGGATCTTGCTAACCGCAGGGGCAGGGCCCGGTCGCCGAAGAGGCGACCAGCAGCTCCAGGCTCAGGGCTTATAGGGCTAAGGCGATTTTGAGGGATGAGAGGTTTCGGATGCTAGGGGTTGTAACTTGCAGTCAACCTGCACATTAGGACCAGACCAGCTAGGGGGATGCAGGTTCACGGCTGCAGAAAATCCGGAGACAAAACAGCATCCTCGCTGTCATGTCCATATTAGTTACTCAAAGTGCGCTGCAAATGATTCCGAGGTTCATCCTCGGTTCATGGCAAGTTAATCAACGCCCTGCACACGGCAACCTCGTGGTCCCAGCCTTGGCACCCAAAACCCTCATATCGACGGGCGTTAGAAAAAAGCGGCGATTTCTTCTTCCCAACGACGTCCAAGGCTGGAGGGGAAGATGTAGACTCCATAACAAGCCCCAACATACGGAATCGTAAGCCTCTCCCCTCCTTCAAATTCGCAACTTCAACACCTGAGGGCGTAATGCAATAGGGCACGCGCAGGCACGACATCGAGTGCCGCAATTTGCAGCGCCATCCTCGAGCCTCAAGTTGCTAAGTTGTGGTTTGGGCTTCGTCGCTCACACCTCGGAAGGACCAGGAACTCATATTAGAATTCAGGAATCTTCAGGCTTTGCCTCTCAGCACGTGCACAAAGGCTTGGATGAAGAGCAACCACTCTTCTTGTTGGAATCTCACTGCTATCCGATCCGCTGTAGACAGACCGGCAGTCCTTGCCTGATCCAGAAATGGCAAAGCTTTGTTTTTTGTTCCTTCGGGTTCCGATCTTTTGAGACTATTGTCCATCCTCAGCTGAGCCAGCAGCACAACGCCACAGTCGAAAAAAAAACACAAAAGCCGAGTGGCCAGTAGGATGCCGCGTCATGGGAGCCCGGCAGCGTGATATCCACCAGGCGCCTGGCAATCAGGAAGTATATGAATGACAGATAACACAACGTATAAGCTGGTGGGCTGCTGGAGATTTCCAGATCTCCAGGTCAGTATCTTGAAAGCAGCCAAGAGGTAAAAACAAGAGGCAAAACCGTCGAAGCAAATGCTTCGTACCATCTGCCCCCTGACTCCACAAACCGACTCTCCAAAAAAGTGCCTCTCCGCGAACTTTGCACAGGGCAGGTCGCTCAAAGCACCTGTGAAGCTTCGTCGGGTTCAGGAGGATCGGCATCCCTCATGGTTGCGCATTGCAGCTTAGACAAGTCCAAGTGGAAAAATTCTGCGTCCGAGGGGCGCATCCATCTCGCGGGCGCTCTCTGAGTCGCCGTGATGCCGGCGTCCGCACAGGTTTGCGGACTAGCCACCATCGGCTCTTTGCTCTCTGTGCTGCTTTGCCGCAGTAAGGTTCTTGTTGTTTAGGGCTTAGGGAAGCATGTCCGGGGTTTGTGTCCGGGGTTTAGGTTCGGCTTTGTGAACAGAAGCCGCTTTCGCGACCTGCGCAGTGTTGGACACGAGGCAAGCACTGTCTATGGAGCTTCCCCCAGGCTCCCCCAATCCTAAGCCCTTGTTCCCCAGCCCTTTATGCGCCTTGGCTTGTGCAAATCTTAAACCTCAAAACGATATGCTGATTGGTCCAGTGGAGATGTCAGCGATATTTATTTATATATATATATATTGCCTTATTGGTTGGCCTACTGATCACCCATACTTATCATGTCCCGCCAGTTTTCCCATCGACGGCACATTGACAGTTTATTGACAAACTCCTCAAGTGGGACTACCCTCGCCAAGGTTTTGTCACTGCCTTGATCCAGGCGTTCCAAAGCCCCTTCGTCAGGCACAGGGCCAAGGAATGCCTCGATGCCTGACGTGAGAAGGGCGGCAGGCTTGGCAGGAGAAGCTTCCTTGGGCTGCAAGCCTTTGTCCATGCGCAGCGTATGATTCTACCTTCTTGGGGCGCAGCCTGAACAATCTGCTGCTAGCACTGCCTGTGAGGCGACTTTTCAAACCCACCAGTACCCAAAAAAAACAACTTTTGCATGCAGTCATGCCATGTCTACGCGTCTAGCTGGGTAATGAAGCGCCCTTGGCCTTCACGAACTTTCAGAAGCCTGCTGTTGAGGGACGCCCTGCCCTGCCTCTATCGGCCCGCTCCAGCGCGGCAGGAGAGAGCACGTCCTCCAAGCCGCACTTTGACGACGGGGTTACTACGAGCCCGAAAGCAAGCCCTGCTCCACTGGAGGCCGTGCCTCCTCGTCGCTGTCTTCCGACACTGTCTGTAGGTCCAGGTTGACCTTGGGAAAGCCCAAGGTCTTGAGAATCAGAACGTGCCCGATCATTTGTTGCGCGTTAGATGTGGGACGTGGACAGTCGGACTGACTCAATGAATCCGACGGCAAGGGCCTGTGTGGACCTGTGGGGACCGCTGAAGAGAAATGTCCATGTTCAAGCTGCTAGAGTGCAGGGGGCACGCGAGTGCTTGTCATAGATGTCATGAGGTCTGTGGCTTCTGTCAACATTTCGGAGGCAGTTGAAGCAACAACTTCGTCCATCACCCTAGTGAAAATAGAATACGCACGAGACACTTTGAGCAAACTCCATGGAGCGGCTCCAGAAATTTGAAAGCCCATGTGTGTACGGCGAGGTGCCATCGATGCCCGGATCATGCGGCGAGTTGGCCTTGCCGTTTCGTGAGGGAGTTTCAGATCTTCTTCAGGACTGGTGGGGGCTTCGCACTTTGTCTTTAACATTGTCTTCTAACATTCTTAAGCGCCCACGATGCTAAGCCTGTAGACGACATGATACATTGGAGACATTTGGAGACGCTGGTCGTGGCCTTGTAAGATTCTATATGCTACAAAAGCATCAGGCGTCAACACCGCCCACCCCCAGCTGTGCCTTGTCAAGCGAGTTCGCATGACGTCGCCCAGTTGCACCACCTGCTCCAGACAGACATAGCACCCCCCCCTCCCCCCTCCCCCTCCCAGTGCAGATGATTTGGATAAGATGGAACTTGACTTGGCTTCCTGCACCCACTTCTATGTACGACAGGAGCAACTCATGCAATGCTAGGACTAAAATCAATAGCAGTTCTTTGCCTGGATACCACCGCAGTAGTAGTGGAGCAGGAAGCGCACCTGAGTCATGAACACGGCCTTTTTCCGGCAAGTTGCCCATGCGCGACAATGCTTATTGCACGGTCGTTAGGACCCTCCAAAATGCTTAAAAGCAAATGGGAGCTTGACAACGTTGGCCGAAACAGCTTCGCAAATCCTCACGCCCCGTGTGCTGTGCGGGTAGCTGTTACATGCACGGCATGTCGCGTGCATGAGGGATAGTAGACAGGTCAGGTGGATGCAGAGCAGCTTCTGCACGGACGAGGGTCTTGTTGACTCGACAGTCGGGTCAGTGGCTTAGGTAACATGGGCCATGCATGCTGCATAGGGCCAAGCACTGCGAGCCACACCTCTTCTGAACAAAGGACAGCGCATGTGCAGGGTCGCTGCTGGGAGTTTGGGGGATTGATTTTCGCAGGCTCGCGAAGTTTGCAGATCGGGAGAGACGTGGGCCATGGCCTTGAAAAGGCACCCTGTCTGACGCAGTCTCTTGCGCGGTTTCTGTGGAGGTTTTTGTTGCACTGTTCTTGCATAGTCATGTTTCAGTTTTGTCTATGCAAACTATTGCGGCAGTAGGGCATAAATCATAAAGGCAAAACCTTTAGATCAACTCAGAACGTAACTCGGAACCCAATCAAAAGAACACCGACTCTCTTAAACTGCACTTGGTGTACACGGCTCCGTGCTGCCCGGCAACCCACTTGAGGCAAATTGTCAAGTCCAGCTCCTCGGACCTCCTGCTTACCGTCCTTGTTGCGTCAGAGGTTCAGGATAAGCCCTGACCAGGGATCGTTCGCTTTACATGCAGGGTTATCTCTTTGGAGCGGAATATGCTGTGCCAAGCTACCCCGTAGAACTTCTGGAATCAGGAGGTTGAACAGAGGAAGTTGGGAGTTTGGCGGGAGGTGAGGGAGGGAGCTTGCCGAGTTTCTGGTGGTTCACGCTGGTGCCTCCCCTTCCAAAGCCTACACCGCCATGGTTCATTAAACATGTTGCCTGTGCCATGCTCATAAGGCCTGGAACCGGAAAACCCCTTAGCAGCCCCTAGTCCCCTAGGCGCCCGATATTTGCCCACCTGTCCATCGCCGAAGTAGACTGGGACTTGAACCCCTTCTTCCAAATCAAAGCCACAGCCTAAATCGTAAGCCCAAGCCCCTTTCCAAACTTTGCCGCTGTGGTGCGAGCTTCGGCTTTGGCGTTCGGGCCTCCACAGCCAAATCTTTCCGGGGTCTGGCTCATGTAACGGCATGCTGACGCCCAGTGTAATCCCGTACCAAGAGCAGCGCACCCAAAAGAAGGGCCCAAGTCGTGGCCATGAAGACAAACCACGGTGTAGAAGACTTAAGCAGTGGCTGGCGCCGATCTCTAAGATGAAGCAAAGACCCCTACAGAAATCATCACGTTGGCCAGGACAAGCAGGTGCAAGAGGGAGGGGGAGGGGGAGCGGGGGAGAGGGGGGAGGGGGGGGAGGGGGAGAGGGGGAGGGGGAGGGGGAGGGGGAGAGGGGGAGAGGGGGAGAGAGGGGAGAGGGGGGAGAGGGGGGAGAGGGGGGAGGGGGGGGGAGGGGGAGAGGGGGGGAGGGGGGAGGGGGGAGGAGGGGGGAGAGAGAGGGGAGAGGGGGAGAGGGGGGGAGAGGGGGAGAGAGAGGGGGAGAGGGGAGAGGGGGAGAGGGGGGAGAGGGGGAGGGGGAGAGGGGAGAGGGGAGAGGGGGAGAGGGGGAGAGGGGGAGAGGGGGAGAGGGGAGAGGGGAGAGGGGGAGAGGGGGAGAGGGGAGGGGGAGGGGGGAGAGGGGGAGAGGAGAGGGGAGAGGGAGAGGGGGAGAGGGGGGAGAGGGGGGAGGGGGAGAGGGGGAGAGGGGAGAGGGGAGGGGGAGAGGGGGAGAGGGGGAGAGGGGGAGAGAGGGGGGAGAGAGAGAGGAGAGGGGAGAGAGAGGGGGGGAGAGAGGGGAGAGAGGGGAGAGAGGGAGAGAGGGGGAGAGAGGGGAGGAGGGGGAGGAGGGGAGAGGGGGAGGGGAGAGGGGGAGAGGGGGAGAGGGGGAGGAGAGGGGAAGGGGGGAGAGGGGAGAGGGGAGGGGAGGAGGGGGAGGGGGAGAGGGGGAGAGGGGGAGAGGGGGAGAGGGGGAGAGGGGGAAGGGGGAGAGGGGGGAGAGGGGGAGAGGGGGAGAGGGGGAGAGGGGGGAGGGGGAGAGGGGGAGAGGGGGGAGAGGGGGAGAGGGGGAGAGGGGGAGGGAGAGGGGGGAGAGGGGGAGAGGGGAGAGGGGGAGAGGGGGAGAGGGGAGAGGGGAGAGGGGAGAGAGGGGGAGAGAGAGGGGAGAGGGGGAGAGGGGAGAGGGGGAGAGGGGGAGAGGGGGAGAGGGGGAGAGGGGGAGAGAGGGGGAGAGGGGGAGAGGGGAGGGGGAAGGGGAGAGGGGAGAGGGGGGAGGGGGGAGGGGGGGGAGGGGGGGAGAGGGGGAGAGGGGGAGGGGGGAGATCACCCGCACATATGAATTGTACAAACAGACAAATGGGACTGTGAACCTAGCTTTAAACCTTTTTTTTTTTGATGTTATAGTTTGTGTTGATGATACTTCTCGTGCTGCACGGTTTGGTGGGATGCTGATTTTCAAGTCAGGCTAAAACGCAGGCAAACTTTCTGGAACCTCGTTTCCGATGTTGTGCACTTCCCGAGGGCCGCTCCTCAGTATCCCCGTAAAACCACCCCGTATGTACACCAAGCAATCTTTACAAGCTATAAGATGACAGTAGTATAACCCTACCTTACATAACTCTTCTACCCCATACGAGGATGAGAGAGTGGCTGCCACGGCCTCGAAGCTGGC